AATTTCACACGCAACACCGATTTGATAAAGCGTTAAGATTACAGGATAAGTGACAACGATGAACCGGAAAGGAAGTGTTCATGGCCCGTCCCCAAGGTGGGTCAACTGTCTCAATATATATATATTTTTTTTATTATTATTATTTATTATTATTTATATGACTGCAAATGGGTTTTTACCCGGTGGCAGTGGTCCTACAATAAGACACAACAAAACATAAGACAACAAAAACAATAAGAAACAACAGAACAATGAGACAGAACAAAACAATAAGACACAAAAAAACATAAGACAACAAAAACAATAACAACAGAACAATGAAACAGAACAAAACAATAACACAAAAAACATAAGACAACAAAAACAAAAACAATAAGTAAGAAACAACAGAACAATGAGACACAACAAAACAGTAAGACAAAAAGACATAAGACACAACAAAAACAATAAGACAACAAAACGTAGATAACTCAAGAAAATAAAAACTCTTCAGCAAATATCGAGTCCAGCTGCGCTAGGCTACAACTTAGGAATTTCAAAACAAGAATCAGGAGTGAAAAACAAGTAACATCCACAGACAAACTCGCTCTGTTAAAGAACACCATGGCGTCTGGGCTCCTCTCAGTTTGAAACTAACTACAGGCAACTCTCGGTTTACGAACAAGTTCCGCTCCAAGACGTTGTTCGTTATGTGTATCTTATATTCCTGAGCTTTTATGATACGTACCGTACACGGTACGTATCATACGTCTAGCAGTTAGAACGCTGGCCTTGTAATCCTGGGGTCCTGGGTTCGATTCCCGGTGGTGCCCAAATTTATAACTTGTGTTGGGCAAGGCCGTGGTCCAGGTATCACAGAGTTTTCCTCCGGGGCTTCCCCGGTTTCTCCGTGGCATCCCAACAATTACTTCACATTCATCATCACACACAGAAGAAGGCAATGGCAAACCACTTCTGAATCATCTGCCAAGTAAACGGACCTGTCGTCAGACAGAACACTAATAATAATAAAAATAATAAACCGTACACGGTAGCAGCCATTTTAAAGCATTAAAATCATGTACTAAACATCGAATGGTCTTTACAGTAAGTTTTATTATAATGTATGTATGCGTTATGGTTTATCGTATACGATACGTAACGTAAAATAAAATAAAAGATTAATTTTATTAACCAAGAACAGTTCAGTATAATTATCATATAATAATTTTCTGATAATTATGGTAATAAATACATTTTTAAAGTTTATTTATTTAAATTTTACATTTATGTTCACTATGCGTTTGGAATCTGAAACTCTACCTATTGGCGACTTTAAGAAATTTTGAATGAATTCTGACATTCGTTAGAGCGAATGTTCGTAAACCGAGAGTTGCTTGTATTTCGAAACACGCGGTACAATCAGGAACTTGTCAGCACGTGGAGCATGTACCGATGAGCCCTGTGGATCATCCTGACCGTAAAATCCCATTATCTCTCAGTCAATCCAAATGGGGGGCGTTGATGCAACACCCCCTCCCCCACTACCTGTCCAAACCACACCAGTTTATTATAATTCCTTATCAACCCGTCAACATTATCAACGATGACGTATGATTACATAGGAGGACTGCAATTCAATACGAACGAGTCACATGACTGACGACGGTCTTGGGCATAAAATTCCGCCAGTCCTACACTTCAAAGTGCTGTTGTAATAAGTAATGAAGATGAAACGGCAGGTTCTCAAGGCGATTACTACTGACAAGGCTGTCTTCTGGGAAGTATCGCCGTGAAGCCTTATATAATTTACCGAAATTTTAAAAATACCTGCTGCCTCCATCACCAGCACTCAACACTCATCGCCCTGACGGTGGAGACAGTAAGCACCTATTAATCTTCGGCGAGCTTAAAGTAGGTTACATAGCGCACACAGCTCAGATGATAATTATTTTAAAGTAATAAAGAATTTATAGAGCCACTAGTATGCAAAGATAGTAGAATTTATTGTTTTAAAACTAAACTGCGTTATTTTAAGGATTGGAATTGATATGATTCGAAGAGAATTTTTCAGAGCCTTCCTCTGATGATATGACGCAATAGATCATGAAGGAAAATAGACAGTATGGACTATTAGAAGGCAGTAAGTTATAGTAAATGACAAGGGGAACATGAGAAATGTGTGCTTAAAGTTTGCCAAATTGCAATTAACTGAAGAAGACGACTAAACCAAAACTACATTCAAGAAGACGTTAAGGAAACATTGAATTTATGAAATATCCCTTAATATCCAAATGATAATATTTTTATCCTCCGGCCGTCTATGAAAAATTCTAAAGATTTATCTTCAGAAAATTAATTTTACCTTTTGTTTTAGATGGTTATGAAATTTTGTCCGTACTAAATCTAAGGGAAGACGACAGACTGAGAGTAACTGGAAGCAGAATTCTGAGGTGAATACTGGGAAATAGAAAGAAGCAACGGGTTAAATTATGAATAATTTCATATCCTGGGAATATACGGCAATTAAATCCATTCACACACAGAAGAAGGCAATGGCAAACCACTTCTGGATCATCTGCCAAGAACGTATATGAACAGGTCCCAGTCCGAGAAAAGGATGGAAGGATCCTGTTCATATGGACCTGTCGTCAGACAGAACACTAAATAATAATATATATAATAAGATGAGATGGGCGGAACGTGTAGCATAAACAAATTACGTAAGAAATGCGTGTAGCACTTTAGTTTCAAAATCTTCTTATGGAAGACGGAGGCTTTGAAAAGAGAACAACACATCACAGGTAACCTTACAGATTTAATTGGATTCAACTAGCTGAAGTTGGGACCCAGTTCCGGGCTTCTACAGAGCGTCTAACGTCTTATCAACGCGATCTGCGCCTCAAGGAGTTACTTCAAGTTAAATAAAACCAGTCTTTAAATTCTTATGATTGCAAATGAAATAAATGCTTTCAATTTTAGGTCTGTTGCAAGTAGGTGTTGGTACAGAACACACCATGGCGCAGATGAAAAAACAAATACTCACGTATCTTAAAAATTTGAAGAGAAGAAATTTTTTTAAAGCCCTCACAAATCACGTTTCTCAACTTTTTAAACGTAGAAATACTCGGTATAAGACTACAATTCAGATTCCAATTCAAAGCTGAATTACCACTTCTGGTAACGCGGAAGCTAATGTGGCCCTATGGCGATATCCATATTTCTGTTGCAAATTCACACTGTGACGAAATACTTTTCCTTTTTAGAATGTTAAGGCTTTGACCGGAATGTTCTTTTGTTAAATCTATTATGGTATCGCCTGATTCGACTTCTAATGGTTAAGTGAAGTGTTTTCTTCGCGGTACGGTCTGGATTCGTAAATATTATGAAGACGAGCTTCGGCTTCAAAGGGTTAACCAGTTGTTTTTCGTAATGGTGAGGTGTAGTGTTTTCTTCGCGGTACGGTCTGGATTCGTAAATATTATGAAGACGATCTTCGGCTTCAAAGGGTTAAATATGTTGAAGCGCTGACGAGGTCTGTGTGTTTTGTAATAAGGTCACGAATTTGCCGTTATTTGAGATTAATCATAAGTAACAAATCGGTTTCAACTGCAAGTCGGTATCAGCGATCAAACACTCAACTGTGTCGACGTCATACGCATGTCGTATGTTTGTATGCCAAGCCCGTTGCTAGCCTCGGGGACTGACAATGCATTCCTCTGTATAAATAAAGTTATTTACCTACACAACTGTAAATCAAGTACTGATTCAACTTCCTGTGTACTAAAGTGAAATAAACTGCCACATTAAATAACTCGGGTGTTTCTCAACAGATGATCCACCGATCAACGTCGGTCAGCTACTTAAATTTGTGATTTCGCAATTTACAAGTAAGAGTTCGTATTTGGCTGCTTTTGAAAAAAAAAAGTGTGTTGAACATCGTCATATCTTCCTGTTTCCTTTTGTGTCTTTCAGCGACGAAATATTAAGTACCTTCCAGAACTGTTGAAAGACAGTCTGACAAATTAGAGCAGGTAACACATCATCTGATTTATAAGTTCTGCTACCAAGGAGTAGCTATTATAAACAGTTAAATGTAGATGTACGAAACGTCTAAATAACGACATAGTACATGTTTATTATTATTTCGTGCTGAAAGGCATGATAAAGAATACAGGACAAATAAATTTTGCATTGAAACCAAGTATCGTAAAGTCACTACTGAAGATGGCCCGATAGGACCGAAACGCTTTTGGTAAGATCATCATCAGCCTTAATTAAAGAGGATAAACGTTGTTGGTATTATGATTCTTATTGCAGGCTTTAAGAAAATTTTCTTTCCTTGTCGATTTTAAACGGACATTTTTTTGCAAATGGCTCTATTAGTATATTAAATCAAACAACGCTATAAACATTCAGTAGGTCAAAATATAAGTTTTTCGGGGGAACAAAGTGGCTAGAAAACGCAACATTGCAACTTATGAATGTTGTAGTACAGGCTGGCAAAGAGACAGTTTTCTGTAAAACAAGGCCCAACATCCTGAAGAACGTTGTCCTGCCATCGAAACACTCAGTGGATGGTTTACAGTCATGTGAGTGAAGGCTGATATTAGGAATTAATATTTTACTATATTAATGTCATTATTCGATTTAATAAATTAAAAATATGGTGACTAAAACGAAGTGGTAAACAAAACGTGTTCCTGCCTTTGTAACGTGTACATGAAGGTATGCTAACTAGAAGGCGTATACGGGCACAAATTTAAGGTTTCGGTATCGAGATCAGCAATCAAAAAACAATGGGGCACATCACAGCACGTCCAACTAGCGGATGTAGAAATTTCCTTTTTACACTCCAGTCTTCATCCTACATTCTGATGGGACTATCAGCGTCACAGGAAATAATCCTCCGACACAAACTGTTAAGATTCTTCATGCGTAAAACCAAACCAGAAATTCGATAAAGAACCCCCCCATTCCACCCCAAGAATAGATCTACGCAATCAAATTCTGTTACTCACCTCAGGGCCTCTTCGTGGCGCGAACTGAATCTAGGAGACACCAACGGCGGCGCTGCTAACCTGAAATCCAACAGATGACTGTAATATTTGGCGACGTAATTCAAACAGGACGTCAAAACAGTCCGTTTGTCGAACGTAATGTTCCTCATTCTGCTTGATGTGTGTTAGGAGTAACCCTTTAAGATTCTCTGTTGCCATCTGATCGACATTCACGGAAAATGCAACACAGAAGAAAGAAAGAAAGAAAAGAAAGAGCGAGAGAAACACGGAAAAGAAAGGGAGGAAAAAAATGGCAGACTGTGAAACTTAGGAGAAAAGGACACAAGAAGGAAAGGATGAAACAAAACGAAAGAAAAGCGTAAAAGCAAATGCAAGAAACAAAAGAAGGAAGAAAAGAAAGTAGTAATGGAAGCTTGAAATTTCTAGAAAGTTTGGGACCCTGTAGGGTTGAGTCTAATAATCGGATAATTCATTACGTTAGTCGGACTATTGATAAACTTAATGTAAAACTATTTCTGGCGATATTCCAGGTGAAGATTTCCGTCTTCTGGGTTGTTGCGCTGTGTAGTCTGGTCGATGTTTACCAACGTTTCGGAGGTCATACTGCCTCCATCATCAGGGCGGTAAGTATGAAGATTTCTGTCTTCTAGGTTGTTGCGCTGTGTAGTCTGGTAGATGTTAACCAACGTTTCAGAGGTCATACTGCCTCCGTCATCAGAGTATGAAGATTTCTGCCTTCTGGGTTGTTGCGCTGTTTAGTCTGGTCGATGTTTACCAACGTTTC